TTAGTATACCAAACTGGCTTCCAACCTATTTCTTAGATCAAAGGTGCTGGAGTATGAAAATGCAACAGCTATTCATAACCTGGGTGAGGGAGAGGCAATATATTGTTATTAACTGACATTAATCCTTTAATACCTGTTCATTCATCAGATTAACTATTCATAGGTTTTCTTATTTAGGTTTAGGCAACTCCTGTCTCTGATTCTGACCCACTAATTAATATTGATTGACTCCATTCTAGTTCTGTGATTTCATGTCTGAACAAATTCCTAAATTTCATTTTATCTGGTCCCTTAATTCTTTGCATTGTCATCCTTCCTGTCTCAGGTAACCATCCTTGATGCCAGATTCCATTTCCTTTTGATGGTATATGATTCTGAGTACTTCCAGTTACTAGATGTGTCTAAAGGTCACTCAGGTGTTCTGTAGGTACCAGGGAAGTCATCTTTCTTATAGGGAACATGGTATTGCCAACCAACTGGAGTCGTGATATATGTGATACTGAGATTTTATTCTATTATTTAAATAAATATGTGTGTACACATTTAAAAGTAGGTTACAGAACTCACTGTTTATGGTTGACCCTTCCTGAAAGAAGAGAATCTCTCAGTTTTTTGATTTTTAATACGTCCAAGGTTTTGACATATCTTCAGACATGATTCAAATGTCTAAGTAAGGAGGAAGAAAATTTACCATACTTCTGTCTTTCTCAGTTGGAGCTCCTTCCTCACAGAGAATTAGGATAAGGCAATGGTTTAGAGGCAGCTAGATAGCTTGACCAATAGACCTCTGGGCCTGGAGTCAGGAAGACCTGAGTTCAGATCCCACCTCATACACTTACTAGATGTGTGACCCTGGGCAAATCATTTAACCCCTGTGTGCTTTAATCCACTGGAGATGGAAATGGCAAACCACTCCAATATCTTTGCCAAGGAAACCCCATGGACAGTATTGACATGCAGTGGTCCACAGGATTACAAAGAGTCAGCCATGACTGAATAGCAACAATTATGATTTAGAGTACTACCAAAGAGTAGATTTCTGTGCTAGAGAATGGCAAACTAAAAACAAGATGAGCAAAGCAGCAACTTCTCCATTCTCCAAAGCAGTCTTGATTTTAATCAATTATACCCATTTTTAAATTTTGGTTGTTGACAAATCCACTCAATGTTGCAATTTCCTTTCAAGTTCTGTCATACAGACTACACAACCTTTTGTTCAGTTCTAAAATAAAAAGAAATTCTAGTTACCTTTTGTTACCCTAGGTACAAATACCTTTCATACATCATCTTGTTTGATCTTGCGACAACTTTGTGAGATAGGTGTTACAGGTCACATAATATCCTCATTAAAACAAAACAAGTACTGAGGCTATTTTCATTAGTGTAGGAAGTACTGGGTGAGTCTTCTACCAATAAAGATTTAAATCTTCTCTTCAACTTATTCTTAGTGAGTTACCTAGGGCATTGGAAAGTTGAGAGACTTTCCAAAATCACACATCCAGTATGTGGCAATAGGCAGTACTGGAACCAAGTTTTTCTGATTCCAAGGAAAGTTCTATATGCCCAGTCCCATACTGCTCCATTTAATATAGGAGACAAGTTCAGAGAGATTTGATGAGTTGGCCATGGTTACACAAGCTATAAAGTGTGAGAGGCAGAATTCAAACCCAGATCTCTCCTTATTCTAAATTTACTGCTCTTTCCACTGTACTATCATCAGTATGAGATGAAAATTTTAAAAACAGGTTTTGAGGTATGTGATATTGGTTAAGATACTCTGCCTTTTTGGGCCTTAGCTTTCTCATTCGTAAAATGAGGAAGTTGGAATTTGGTCCTCTTAATCTTTTGCCTTCTCTGCTTCTAGAATTCCACATAGATTAGATTTACTTTTCAGGAGTCACAGAAAAAGAAAAGCTGCTTGTTTAAGAAATTTTATTAGTATGTATTCTAAGGGAAAGTGATGACCATTCTGTAAATTACAAATTCATATTGACTTGTAATAGGTTGGAAATATTTATAGTAACTTTTTACAGCATGTCATTTCTCAGGGGATTTGAATATGAAATACAAATGAGGAGATAGTAGGATTGCTCAGTTGTCTAAAAGAAATTCTGTGTTGATTCAATAAGCTTTTCTTGTATACGATTAAAATGAGTGATTAATTTAAAATACCTTTCCAAATACAAAAGTAAACATGTCTAGTAGAGTATTTATCATTAGTTATCAGTGACTATATTTTGGCATTACTTTATTCTTCCAATGGTTTTATAGTTAAAGACCAAAGATAATAATTCTGATAATAAAATAACAACCTTATACTTATATAGCAATTAATGGTTTCAAAATCCTAGTTTTCATAGTGGCCCTGTGAGCTAAGCCATTCAAGTTTTATTATTCCCACTTTATAGATGAAGAAATTTAGTTAAGTGACCTGTACAAGTTCCTACAATAACAATAGGTAGGATTTATGTGATGTTTTATGGTTTGTAAGGCAGTTTATACATTTTATTTGATCTTATTTGATCCTTACAACAACCTTATGATGTGGATGTTCTCATCCCCATTTTTATAGATAAGGGAAATTAAGGTTAAATGACTCACTCATGGTCACACAGCTAGAAAGTATCTGAGGCTGATTTCTAACTCAAGTATCCCTGTCTAGAGCTTTTTCTGATGCAATGTGAGTGTTGATGCTGGGACTTTAACCTGGATATTTTGATTCTAGGCAACATTTATTGTTTTTAGCAAAGGGGGTTATAAAATCAATTTATCAATTAATCATTGAGTACTAGTCACTAACAGTTATGGACCAGGCACTGTTCTAAGCATGGGGATGAAAAGAGAAAGGTGAAAGTCCCTACCCTCAAGGTGTTTATATTTTATGGCAAGAGAGAGCATTTATACATACATACACACAAAATAACTGCAATATAATTTAAAGGAGATGTATTTGCAGTGGAGAGGATTAGGAAACACCTCAAGTAGAAGGTGATGTTAGAGCTGAGTTTTGAAGGAAACCAAGGATTATAAATGGTGATAAGGAGAGAGTGCATTCCAGGCATGAAGGATAGTATGTGCAAAGGCCTGGAGACAGGAAATGGAAAGTCACACATATGAAAAGGCAAAAAGGACCATTTTGGTTGGGCTGTTGGATAAGTGAATGGAAGTAATATTTAGCAAGGTTGGAAAGGTAGTTTGGAATCAGGTGGTGAAGGCTTTAGGTGTCAAATAGAGACATTGGTGTTTGATACTAGACGTAAAAGAAAATCACTGATTTATTGAATGACATCCCTTGTTTTATATACTGTATAATAGGTCATATGACAGATAACTCTAAAGAAATCAGAAATACTAGTTTGGGAAAAATTCTTGTTATTTAGGATTCTTTTCCAAACAAATGGAAAAGAGACATGTAATCTGTGACCACAATAGCTAAGTAATGAAGTATTAGACAATAAAGAGGAAGTGACAAGCATTACACTGACTCTTGAATTTCATTCCATCTGATTTTGACATGTACTGATAACAACACATCCTATCAATGTAATTTCATATATAAAATACTTGGGCCATAGGCAGCATTGCACCTGTGCTCTTCTGCCTCTCCATCTGCTGTATCACAGCCATTCAGATTCAGGTGACAGAAACCTTTTAGATGAAAGTTAATTAGCCAGTGTACTGCAGATCAAATCTTTCCAGTTTAGTGCCAAATGGAAACATTCCAGTCCAAAGTGTGGACTTGTGCCACCTATTTTCAAGTTTCAAGATGTAATTCATTTTTTTCCCTGAGTGGAGTAAAACAAAAACAAAAACATCCAGCAGTCTTTTTAAATGTAATGCATATTGTATATTAAACTTTATATGCATTCAGGGGTTCTATGTGCATTTCTGAATGTGCATTTAAAGAAGAAGAAGAGAGATTAGAAATAATTTGGAAAAGAACTGTAAGAATAATATGATTTGGAGCCATAAATATTCTCAATTTTGCTCTATCCCCCTGATTTTTTGGTTAACCTTCATTAAAAGCCTTAACTGTTTTTAGTGTCCCTACCTTTAAAATGATCCCAATGACAATGACACACCTATTTCATAGAAATTCTTTCCCAGCTTCTTATCCCATCTGCAATTCTGCCAGATCTTCAAGCTCATCTTGGGTATAGTCTGAATGGCATAGTCGACCTACTGCCTTGAAATATACCCCACCCATGCTGCCAGCAGTCCTTTACTCAAAATCCTAAAGAAATTGCTGAGAGGAAGAGGGAGAGGGAGAGGAGAGAGAGAGAGAGAGAGAGAGAGAGAGAGAGAGAGAGAGAGAGAGAGAGAGAGAGAGAGAGAGAGAGAGAGAGAGAGAGAGAGGCTATTACTCAGCCTCCCCCTTTTAAAGAACCTTATGCATTGAAACATTCACTTTAGATACCTAAGCCACTTTAAGCTTTAAATCACTTTTCTCGCATGTTACAGATTTTCTGGGAATGTTCAAATAGTCTTAATTTTCAAAATCTCTAATGCTTCTGAGTACAGGGTGAAAATAGGGACATCCTCTTCTCCTCAGTCAAAAAAAAAAAGTCAGGGCATCTGAGCTGAGCTTTCACACTGCTTTGCCCTGCTCGCCCAAGCAGCTCACTCAGAGTAGTGCACTTTTCCAGACTGGGCTTTGCTACGGAATATTCCTGCTAACTATAGTCTCTGTACCCTTCTTCGAATCTGACAAGACAGTTGCTGTCCAGCGTTCTGAAACATCTTTTACTACTTACTTGGGACCCACAGCCACTAGAGGGAATGTACAAACCTCAGGGTTCTCACTTCTTACCAGAATGGAGGAATCGTTCATACCTTTACTCCCCCACTTCCACCTGTGCCCATTCAAAGCCAAAGAAACATTGCCTGTCCTCTCTCAGTATTATTCCATTGTTTTCCCTTCCCTATTCTTCTTCAGCCTTCTTTATGCTTTAGCTACTAATTACCAACTCCACCTCATTCCATTGCGGACCCTCCCTTACCTGACTCTTCCGAGGAAATTCGTAGCGCACTATACTGATTACTGGGATGTGCAAGACGGAGCTGATGAACTCGAGCTCCAGCATCTCCCCCTGGCTTTGGGGGAATGCAAGCAACGCTGATACCCCTTGTACCACCACGGTGTGGCACACGCTCTGCAGGAAGGAGACGGGGTCACTGCTCCAGGCTGAGCTCGGGGAGGAAAAGGGTAGGAGAGGGAGGTCTCCGAGTCCAGCCTCAATCGCCATCACCACTTCCAGGGACAGGTTGTAAGGCAACAGTCCCGACATGCGGTTCAGATTCTCCACAGCGAAGAGCAGGGCATCCCGCGGAAAGAGTGTTGTTGACTCACCCGCGCCTCCCGGCATCCCAGCCCCTCTGCTGTGCAGGGCGCTCCCAATCCAGCGGCTTGGAGCCTCTGCCCCACCGACGTATGTGGGGGCCCTGGCCCGCCAACTTCTATCGCCTGTCTCTGCCGGTGCCACTGCAGCCACCGCCTCAGTCTCCGCCCTGGCCTGGCGGTCCAGGGCCCCTGCCGTTTTTCCTGCTGTGACAGGCGCCGCGGCGCCCCCGGGATAGATGTCATTGCGTTGCCCCCTTGCTCCTCTCCAGCCTTGTCCACTGCTGGTGGTGGTGCGGGTGGCTGTAGTCCAGGGTTGCAGGTGGACTGCCCCGATCCGCACTGTGTGCCCGATGCGCTTGAGGATCTGGCAGGGTTGCGGGTGGGATGAGGAGCCGGGGACCCTGGCCAGGACAAGCGCACAGGGCGGCAGCAGCAGCAGACAGATCCTGCTTAGAAGCCACCACAAACTCAGTCTCCTCATTACTGAGACCCGAAGCGGGAAATCCGGGGCGCCCCAGGGAAAGCGACGCCCCCCCCCTCCGCTGTCTCCAGAAAAGGAGAATTCCAGAGAATCCAAGCCTGTCCACTTACAATCTAACTCCGAAGGCTTGGCCCCTTCCTCACGGAGGGGGAGTAGCCAGATCCACCCCGACCACTTTCCCAGCCATAAAAGTTGTTGCGGATCTTCCAGGCAGTCACTTTGGGTCGCTTTCGCCTTGAACCGGGTGGCTCCCAGAGCCGCTCTCCACCTCCTCCTCCCCTCCTTGCCGCCCCTCACATCTCTCAACCCCCGGCTACCACAGCACCCCCAAAGCACCTTTCACTGCCCAGGCATTCCGTCAGCCGGATTTGCCCCATCCACAGCTCTTTGGAGAACTCAGCCCAAGGCGTCCCTCAACCTCCAGGGCTGCTGGGACAAGCCGACAGCAGGATGGATGTCCTTAAAACACCAACATCGAAGGCAAAAACAGTCTAGGCAGCTGCACGTCTAACAACTTACAACCGGTGATCCTGGGGAAATGTGAGGAAGAAGAAAAGCACCCCCGAATCTCCCTCTTTATTGTTCTTTTCTGGCAACATCTGGACCTGGATAATTCCCGAGGCAGCACTGAGGTAAATTCACCCCCTTCCTGAAGGAAAAGGGAAGCCAGATCCACCTTGCTCCTGCTCTGGCTGTTGTTTTCTCGCCTCGTGCTCGCTTCATTTTTCTTTACATGACTTCCCTTTTCTTGCTTTTCTCCTTTCTTTCTTTCTGCCTGCTGCCACTCTCTTTCCTTGGTGGAATGCTGGTGCTACTGGGTAGTAAAGGCTTCTGTTAGAAGAGACAAAGTTATCCCCGCCCGCCTGACTCGCCCAGCCCAGCTCCTGTTGCTGGAGACGTGCCTTCTGACTGTCGCTTGGCTGCGCTAAACTTCCACTGATCGTGATCTCCTCTGGAGGGTGATCAGACAGAACAGAGCCTCTGGAACCACCTCTCTCCTCAGAGACTGGGATTTGTAGTCTTCTAAATCTCCTTCAGAGGAGGAGAGGACTTCAGTTTTCAGAGAGCCAATAGGGAGCTTCCCAACAGGACGCGCGGAGGCTGAGGGCTCCAAGTCCAGCCCTCTTCCAAGGGTGGTTTCAGAAAACTGTTATTTTAAATGACTTCCTGCAATAGATCATTTGCACAGGTTTCCAGAGCAAAGGGTATTTAAACAAGAATTATTTATACCTGCAGACATCTTCACTTACAGACCACCAGGCAGCATGAACTCTAAGTAGTCGGATTGTAAATATAAAAGTCTGGTCATATATCAAAGAATATGTTTGTGATGACAATTAGAGATATTAAAAGCATATCGACAGTCATTCAAAATGAGATTCAATGAGAGTTAATAATTGATCTGGGTCAGCGGTCAGTTTAAAGGAGAACCTAAAAGCTTGTATTTTCTTTCTCTACAGACCACTTCTTCCTAAAAACAAAACACACCACAAAGCTTCTTATTCCTGCTAAATCTAGCCATGCATGAAAAAGTTAGTGCTAAAATGATTGATAATTGCTTATTACTGAAGATTTTAAAATGCCAGCCATGTCTTTGGATATTGGAAAGAAAAAAGGTAGTCCAGGAACAGGGTAGTACCTTCCACACTTAAACTACATTTTACAGCATACACATTTTTTTCTTTCTTTCTTTGTTTCAGTAATACAGTGTGTGTGTGTGGGGTATTTAGGATAGGGAATTCTGAATTCTAATATCAGCTCTATAGAATTAGGGCTTTGCAATTTATTTTATCCAACCATGTTCTGGTTTTGTGAACTATTAAAGGCTTAGGTAAACATTTGCTATTTACCTTGTAGGGCTGTTTTAATTCACAAGCTAGAGATTATATTTTGTTTTGAGGATTAAGAGGCTAGGGCTACAAGGGGATAGGAAAAGGAATGGGACCTGTGATTTCATTGAACTCCTTCGCCTTTAATATTGGCTCCTTCTTTGCAACTTATTGTCTTAGATAGTTGACTTGAGCATGGAAAGAATAATTGAATTACTCAGGGTCACATAACCAAGTTGATTTTGAAGTGAGATTTGAATCCACACCTTTTTGGCTTTGAGACCAGCATTCTGTCCACAACACCATGTTGCCTTTTCAGAGCTATATAAAAATCCCCATAAAAATAAAATTTCCCCTCTTGCACTTCCCATGATCATCTCTGAGTCCAGACCTCTGATTTCACTGGTATAGATATTTGATGGACTTCTGGTGTGGAAACTCGATGATATAGATCAGCAACCATTCTAATTTACAGTCTTACCATGTTGCCTAGGGCACTGAATGGTTAAGTGACTTGCCTATGATCACATAGGTACCTGAACCCGGGGCTTCTTTACTTGAAGGCCAGCTCTCCATTCACTGCACTCTCTGTCTCTCAAAGATCTGTATCCCAAATTAGAGGATCATTGCAATATAAAAATAGAGAAGGAAGGAACTTCAGAAGTCACTGAATCTAAACCCCTTATTTTCTAGATAAGGCAATTGAATTCTAAGGAGATTAAGTAACTCCCCCAAGGTCATTCAGATAATATTAGACAGCCTAGATATGGAAAGGGCCCCAGGGAGACTGATCTTAAAGTGGTATTGAAGTGGAGGAGGTATTGAAATCATAGTTTCCTACCTATTAAAGCAAAGTGTGCTAATTCAATAAATAAAAACATATGGGGGCTTCCAAAAGTCTTAGTGCATTTCTGAGTTATTACAGTTTATAAATGCACTAAGACTTTTGGATCCACTATATTAAGTAGCCACTTCAGAAGATGATTGCTGTATTTGTTTTCTACCTGAGGACAGTGTCAGAATTCTCCTTTTTGTCTCTCTGTAACCTAAATACATTCTTTGTAATTCCCGAGTGACAAAAGGATTGAAACCTATCTGATCTGTAGTGAACAAAGGGTAAGGAGCCCTTTCTGACATCTTCATTTGTGCCCCAACATTTCTGACCCTGGCATAGCTGTAGAGTACTGATTTAGTACTTCATTGGTCACTCATCTGTCCACAGCTAGTTCTCAGAAGTTGGATAAAGTGAGAAAAGAATAACATTAGAGAAAAGATGGGTCTCCTATAATTGCTAATGTAATAGCTTTGTCTCCATAGCTATTTTACTTGAAGGCTATTGAAAGTCCATAAATATCTGAATATCACTAAAGAGATGGTTGAAAGTAATTTTGTAAGGCTGAAGTGGATTTGTCAAACATGAGATAGTCAAGATGTACAAAGAATTTGTTAGTCTTGTGGACATCATATTTTGCTAAGCACAAAGTATTCTCTCTCTTCCTTTTCATTCTTTCTGCTTGTTTCTCCACTCCTTTCTATCTTTCTACATTGATGCCATTTCACTATTCCTGTTGTTTTTTTCTCCTTTCCATATAACTTCAGTCTTTGTCATGTTGTTCTTTATACCCAGATAATCCTTCCGAGAAAACAGTCCATAGTAGGAAAAGCACTGGATTTGCATCCTTGGTGGGATTACAGATGTCTACTATTGAGGTAGGGTTGCCCTTGTTCCTCTGAGTCACAGGTGCTGATGTTCTTTGGCAATCACTGATTCCCAACATGTACCAATGATGATCTTTTGAGAAGCAGCCCGAGTTAATTTGGATAACTTTTCCCAGCTGCTTGAAAGGAAAAGAGATGGAAAATTAGAATTGCAGTACCCGTCTATACTTCAAGATTCACTGAAGTGCTGACATAAGTAGGAAATATGGGTTACTATGAGGAGTGCAGAATCTTTTCTGTGGAGTCTAAGCCTGTGGGATCTATTTGTAACAAAAAAAAGTTTCCAAAGGCTGGAGGTACTCTGACCAAAGGTTTGACAGAATTACAATTGTAACACTGTAAGATGATGAATCAGGATAATCTTTTCAAGGGTAAACTACTTGAGAGCTGGTCCCCTCACGAGGAGTTGATGAATACCATCTTCCATGCTTCAGGAGTTGGCTTGTGAGGAATCCCAGTGATCAGAGGTGAGCAACATAATTACAGATAGGATCAGCAGGGCTCAGGAGGACAATAATAACAGGGAGAACAATGGAACTCATAATACCTAATGAGAGTAAAGATCTGCAAGGATGAAAGGCCAATAAGATATGGATAAAGGAGCCTTGGAGGTGAACACTGTTTGGAGAAGTAAACTCCAGTTTCCCTCTTTATTTGGGAAATACCATTGTTGTTGTTTAGTGGTTTTCAGTTGTGTCTGATTCTTTGTGACTCCATTTAGGGTTTTCTTTGCAAAGATACTAGAGTGCTTTGCCATTTCTTTCTCTAGCTCATTTTACAGATAAGGAAACTGAGACAAATAGGGCTAAGGGACTAGCCCAGGGTCACACAGCTAATAAGTGTCTGAGGCTGGAATTGAACAGGAGTCTTCCTGTGTCCAGGCCCAGCACTATATCCACTGCACTACCTAGCTGCCCAGGAAATACCATAAGTCACTGAATTTCAACAAGTCCATGTGGGACTTTGCAGACTGAGTGGGAAGGTGTCTTTTGACTTGGTAGGCTTTGATATGGATTATTGCAGTATCCTTTAATTTATAAAAATAAAAACAACCCAAGTTGTAAGGGGAGCTAGTCACTGATAGGGAGGAATGTCAGAAGCTGAAAATTCCTAGGTTCTGTAAGTCAATGAATTGGAGAAGACATATATCCCCAAAGTATAGCCAGTTCATGAAAAAGCCTGTTATGCAGGACTATACTTCAAAAGCCCTAGATTCTAGAGTCTGCTCAGGTGCTCATAAGCCATATGACTGAGTAAATCACAAAATAATTTCACTTTAAAATGGAAATGATGATAATTGCACTATCTGCATCACACAATTGTTGGAAGGAACCAAAAATGCATGTGAAAGTGACTTGGAGGAGTAAAGTGCTGTGTTAGGTGCTATTGGTATTAACAATATTATAGCTAGATTCAGCACAATTCTGGAAAAAAAAACTAACCCAGATACAATGATGACGTTCTTTAACCTTTGT